ACAAGAGCACAAAAAGCAGAGTGGGGAACACAGACACAAACAGAAACAGCAAATGGTACCATCCTTACAATGCAATGATGTGGAGATGGAAAATGTAAATATTTTGTTCGTAATATAACATAGATGACAGATCAAAAGTTTAATCTGAGTAAATGTAACATTTTAAAGGAAAAATATGTTGATTCAAAATTTCACAGTGTCAACAAATCCCAAAAAACTTGGGACAAGTAGCAATAAGTGGCTGGAAAAAGGATATTGAGCATATAACGAACAGCTGGAAGACCAATTAACACTAATTAGGTCAATTGACAACATGATTGGGTATAAAAAGAGCTTCTCAGAGTGTCAGTGTCTCTCAGAAGCCAAGATGGTAAGAGGATCACCAATTCCACCATTGTTGCACAGAAAGATAGTGCAACAATACCAGAATGGTGTTACCCAGCGTAAAATAGCAAAAACTTTTAAGTTATCATCATCAGCCGTGCATAACATCATCAAAAGATTCAGAGAATCTGGAACAATCGCTGTGCGTAAGGGTCAAGGCCGTAAAACTCTACTGGATGCTCGTGATCTCCGGGCCCTTAAACGTCACTGCACCTCAAACAGGAATGCCACTGTCAAGGAAATAACAGAATGGGCTCAGGAATACTTCCAGAAAGCATTGTCAGTGAACACAATCCACCGTGCCATCTGCCGTTGCCAGCTGAAACTCTACAGTGCAAAGAGGAAGCCATTTCTAAGCAAGCTCCACAAGCTCAGACGTTTGCACTGGGCCAGGGGTCATTTAAAATGGAGTGTGGCAAAATGGAAGACTGTTCTGTGGTCAGATGAGTCACCATTTGAAGTTCTTTATGGAACACTGGGACGCCATGTCATCCGGACCAGAGAGGACAAGGATAGCCCAAGTTGTTATCAACGCTCCGTTCAGAAGCCTGCATCACTGATGGTATGGGGTTGCATGAGCGCTTGTGGCATGGGCAGCTTGCATGTCTGGAAAGGCACCATTAATGCAGAGAACTATGTTCAGGTTCTAGAACAACATATGCTCCCATCTAGACGTCATCTCTTTCAGGGAAGACCCTGCATTTTTCAACACGATAATGCCAGACCACATTCTGCAGCAATCACAACATCATGGCTACGTAGGAGAAGGATCCGGGTACTGAAATGGCCAGCCTGCAGTCCAGATCTTTCACCTATAGAGAACATTTGGTGCATCATAAAGAGGAAGGTGCCACAAAGAAGGCCCAAGACGATTGAACAGTTAGAGGCCTGTATTAGACATGAATGGGAGAGCATTCCTATTTCTAAACTGGAGAAACTGGTCTCCTCTGTCCCCAGACGTCTGTTGAGTGTTGTAAGAAAAAGGGGGGATGCCACACAGTGGTAAAAATGGACTTGTCCCAACTTTTTTGGGATTTGTTGACGTCATGAAATTTGGAAACAACAGATTTTTCCCTTAAAATGAAACATTCTCTCAGTTTAAACTTTTGATCTGTGATTTGTGTTCTATTCTGAATAAAATATTAGATGTTGGCACCTCCATATCATTGCATTCAGTTTTTATTCACTATTTGTTTAGTGTCCCAACTTTTTTTGGAATCCGGTTTCTAAATTAAATTAAACAATTTGGACAAATCCTGGTTTTATTAGACCTAGTGCTTTATTTTCTGTGATGTTCCAGGAATTAGCCTGATCCCTCAGCGCTCTGACACATTTGGTTGCATGCTGGGTGTTTCTAAATGAACTGTGAGGACTTTTCATGTTGGATGACCGCGAAGGTCCATCCCACCTACGAGCTCATTTCAAAGAAACTGAGATTTTCACTCCTAAAGTAAATTAACGACAGAACGGCCATGAATGAACTTTCAAGTGATTTAAAGTTCATGTTTAGTCGAACAACTTTACAGAGCAGCTAAGATAAATGTTTGGGCTGGTTCATTGTAATAAATGTGTGTTTTTGTCTCTCAGCCGTCTCACAACGATAAATATTCCAACCCTGAGATGGTGAGGGTCATGAGTGAACTGACCAAGGCTCGCAAACAACTGAAAGGTAAACTAAACCCATCGTTCTGTTTTCTGAGCAGATCAGAACAAAAACCAGATCTCCTGTGGCAGTTTGACTGAAGCCACTTTAGTTCACCAGAATCAGTTCAGATGAGATGAAAAGTCTACATTTGTTAGATGATTCTTTGTTTTCTTGGATCAAACAAGATGTTTCATGTTTTGGGTTTCCTTTAGACATCAGAACTCCAGGACAGGTTCTGACTGTGGTCTGTAGTTCTCCACTGACACAGTCTGATCTGGACTCCTGTTGTTAAATAAGTCCATCAGACTCCAAAGGTCCTGAAACCTGATCCAGAAAATCAAGTTTGATGTAGAATAAAATTTTAAAAATGGGTTAAAAAACAACAACTGGACTTCTGTTCTGAAGCTGAAGATGTTTCTCTTCCCATCTGGGAGACTTTAACCAATCTAAACCGTCTGAGAACCAGAATCACCTGCAGGTTGGACTGGAACTAAAGATGAGGGACACTGCTGAGGACCAGCAGGTCCAGATGTTGCACAGAGAGGACAGATGGTTTGAGAGGAGGGGAAGGAAGAAGAACTAACATTAAATAATTCACTTCAGTTTCTTTCTGTAGCTCCAAGTCCCAACAGAAGTTGTCTCAGGGACAGAAACATGCTCATACAATCAGTAAAGTTCTCTAAGGACGCAGCAGAGGAGAGGAGCCTGAAAGCTCTGCTTTTGGAAACTCTAGGAACCGTAGTTCCTAGAATGCTCTTCAGCAGTTTCAGATAAGATTCTATGTCGCCCGCTCTGGCCCCCGGAATGCATTTGACTATGGCCGCTGGAGTCCCTAAAGCCACGTTTGGGACTATGGAGCTTCCAATAACCAGGGTCTGCTTCTCAGTGGGTGTGTCCCTGAGCGAGGAAAATCTATTAGAAACGTGAACGGGTCGGTGGTGAACTGGGGGCTTAGCCTTAGCACTACGCTTGCTCCGGACCGTCACCCAGCCGGCCTGGGGTCCCGGCTGCTCGGGGTCTGCTGGAGGACCTCTAACGGGAGCTAGCCTCTATGGTTCCATGCTGTCTAAGGGGACCTGGCTAGCTACTGGTTTTTCTACAGCGCGTAGCCGAGCTTACAGTTCAGACAGCCTCTCCTCCAAAGCTACCATAAGACTACATTTGTTACATGTATCATTACCACTAAAGGAGGCAGAGGAGCAACTAAACATCTGACACACGGAGCAAGAGAAAACAGGAAGCAGGGAGAGAAGCAGCAGCCATGCTAAGCTAACGCTAGCAGGAGCTAGCAGAGCCAAATACACCAATAAAAACTGAGAAGTGTTGAAAGATAAGAGGTGTTTCAAAGTTCATGCCCAATCATCCAGGTACCAAATCCAACAATGCTCAGTCAGGTCATCTGGACAGTTTCTTTTTCTGGAGGGCTTCATCAGACTGAGGAGTAAACTGTTTCCCCACCAAGCAGTACACTCCTCAGACTGATGAAGCCCTACGGACAGAGGGCAAAACATCTTTCTACAAAAAAGAAACTGTCCAGATGACCTGACTGAGCATTATTGGACAGACAGAAGGTGTTTCAAGCACAATCCCTCAGTAGAAGAACAGCTGTACTGAGGGTGGTTGTGTACTAGACTGAAAAACTGCAAAAGATAAATCCAGAAAACAAAAGACGACTCGAACAATCAAATGACTGCAGCAGAGAAAACAGGAAGTGATGCAACACGTCTTCCTGCCAAAATCCATACAACCACCATGACCATCAGAGGAGGATGTCTCAGAGTTCAGAGCAGCTTTAGACCTGATCCCAGGTCAGCTCCTGTTCACACCTTCATGCAGATGACCCAAACATCTCTGAACCAGACAGGGACTCCAACGAGCCTCCAACCTGCAGCTGATCCAATCTGCTGCTGATCCAACCTGCAGCTGATCTAACCTGCTGCTGATCCAACCTGCTGCTGATCCAACCAGGCCTCTCCTGCAGCTGAGAGCTCCAAACTCTCCAGACCTCAGACCCGAGGAAGAGGAACGTCTTCAGAACACGAGTCCAGCTGTTTCAGATTCATCAAGACCCGGAGGACTGAGAACTTTCACCAGCGTGATGAATCAGTGTTTTAAGATCTACTCAGATGATTCTGTGTTTCAGAGCTGAGACTCAGACAGTCGGTGTTTGACTCCAAGGAACCAGAATGTTCAGATATCAGCAGGTAAATGATCAGAGCCTGAACCAGAACCGCAGATTAAACGTTTGCTTTAAAAGAGAAGAACTCAAACCTGTTCCTATGACCGTGTTTGTGTCAGTTCCTGCAGGTTCAGTTCTGGTCAGGTTGGGCTGTTGGACCACAAGCCATCCCTGGAGGAGACGGTGGAGTCTCTGCTGAGGCGTCTGAGAGAGAAGAGACGGTCCCTGGGTCTGCCGGACAACATGAAGGTCTGCAGGGACTCCAACACACCTGGTGGTAATTCCTGCTGGGGTACCCAGGATTCTGGCTGAGTTCTGGTTCTGGTGTGTGCAGGAGATGACTCAGGCCCAAATGGTTCTGGAGAAGATCACTCTGCAGAAGTGTCTTCTGTACTTCGAGAGCGTCCACGGTCGACCGGTAAACCCACCGAACGATTTGTTCGCTCAGATATTTCTGCTTCTTCTTCTCTGAAACAAACAACACTCGGCTTCATTTTATATTTAATGTTTAACGTTAAATGTTTATTTAATGATTATAGTTTAATATTTATAATCAGTTTAACAAAGAGATAACTCCTCCAGGATCTGATGCTAAGAATTGATGTTAAAATATTTTAGTTTCTCAACATGCTTTATTACTGACAGATGTTCTGACTTTTGACAGAAAAAGGTGTAAACGTTTTTGTTTTTATTTATTTATTAATTACGGTAGTTTGTTTTTAATTCCTGATGTTCCTTCCTCTGACATCAGGGGGCGCTGCTGCACTTTATTAAATAAGATAAAATGATTTAACTTGTTTTCGTGTTTTCAGTCATTTATTTCAAACATTCCTTTAGTTTGTTTATTTGTTTTATAATTCAACAGGATTTCTTTGTGTTTTTGTTTACTTGTTTTTTATTCTTTTTGGTTCTGTTTTATCTGAAACATTGTGTTGTCGTCCAAAAGGTACTTTATACATAAAGTTTTATTGACTGATTGACTGACAGGGAACGAAGCAGGAGAAGAACCTGGTGAAGCCTCTGTACGACCGGTACCAGATGATCAAACACCTCCTGTGTGTCAGCCCCACCATCTGTACTATAGTGAGACACACACACACACACACACACACACACACACACACACACGGATGTGGGTTACCAGGGCCCCACCCTGGAGCCAGGCCTGGGGGAGTGGCTCGTCGGCAAGCGCCCGGTAACCTGGTAATCTGGAGCCCGGTCGGATTCAGCCCGAATGAGCAACATGGGTTTTTCTTCCTGTGGATCCACCACCTGCAGGAAGGGCCATAAAAGTCAGGTGCATGACTCCATGGGCAGTGGGAAAGGGCAGGGGGCCTTGGCGCTCTGACCCTGGCTTACCAAAGCTGCTCTTGGGACATGGAACGTGACCTCTCTGGTGGGGAAGGAACCTAAGCTTGTACATGAGGTTGAGAGGTACCGACTAGATCTAGTTGGGCTCACCTCGACGCACAGCATGGGCTCTGGAACCGATCTCCTTGAGAGGGGTTGGACCTTATTCCACTCTGGAGTTGCTCATGACGAGAGGTGCCAAGCTGGTGTGGGTCTACTTTTAGCCCCCCGACTTGGTCAAGATTCAAGGTTCTTTATTTGTCATACACACCACATGTGGTACATGTGGTACATGTGGTGGACCGAAATTGTGTACACAGGATCCCAGTTACTTCCAACAAAAGTATAAAAAGTAAAAGAAAAGTAAAAGAAAACAGTAATAAGATCTAAGCTATGAAATAAGAAAAATGTTAACTAAAAATACACTAAGCACTAGTAGCATAAAAACAATATGCTGAACAGCCTGTGTTGGTGCCTGTGTGTTGGAGTTTTCTCCGGTAGATGAGAGGGTAGTTTCCCTGAATCTTCAAGTGGGGGGATGGGCTCTGACTGTTGGTTGTGCCTACGCACCAAACGGCAGTTCAGACTATCCAGCCTTCTTGGAGTTCTTGGCGGGGCTGTTGGAAGGTGCACAACTGGGGACTATTTTATTCTGCTGGGGGCCTTCAATGCCCACGTGGGTAATAGTGTGACCTGGAGAGGCATGATTGGGAGGAACAGCCTATCTGGTTTGAACCAGTGCGGTGTACTGTTGTTGGACTTCTGTAGACTCAAATGTGTAGTGAGGGTTTGCTGGGAACACCTGGCAGACGAACCCATCAGAAAGATCTTCAACTCAGACATCCAGGAGAGCTTTAACCTCATCCCAGCTAAGGCAGGGACATTGAGTCCAAGTGAGCCATGTTCTGCACCTCAATGTTGAGGTAGCTGCCTTGAACTGTGGCCGCAAGGTTGTTGGTGCTTCTCACGGTGGCCACCTTCAAACTCTGTGGTGGACATCCCGAGTTAGGGAGGCTGTCAAGCTTAAAAAGGAGTTCTATCGGGCCTTGTTGACTGGTGGGACTCTGGAGGCAGCTGAGAAGTACCAGAAGGCCAAGTGGTCCGCAGCCTTGATTGTTGTTGAGGCAAAAGCTCAGATGTGGGAGGAGTTCGTTCAGGCCTTGGCTAGAGACTCTCGGTCGGCTCCGAGGAGATTCTGGCAAACCATTAGGCGGCTCAGGAGGGGAAAGCAGCTCTTTACTAACATAGTGTTCAGTGAAGGTTGGGTGCTGTTGACCTCAACCGTTGATGTCATTGGAAGGTGGAAGGAATACTTCTCGGACTGTCTCATTCACACCAGTCTTTCATGGAAGAAGGTAAGTCAGGGGACTTTGTGGTTGGTCTGTCCATAACCGTGGCTGAGGTCACCAAGGTAGTTGAAAAGCTCTGTGGCTTCAGTACTCTGGAGGTGTATGAGATTTGCTCTGATTTCCTTAAGGCTCTGGATGTTGTTGGGCTGTCTTGGTTGACACGCCTTTGCAACATTGTGTGGACATCGGGGGCAATGCCACTGGATTGGCAGACTGGGGTTGTGGTTCACCTCTTCAAAAAGGAGGACCGGAGGGTGTTCTCCAATTATAGGAGCATCATTCTCCTTAGCCTCCCTGGTAATGTCTATGCAGGGGTATTGGAGAAGTGAGACAGACCGTTGGTCGAACCTCAGATCTAGGAGGAACGGGTTCCGTCCTGGTTGTGGAACAATGGACCAGCTCTTTACCCTCACTAGGGTTCTCAAGAAGTCATGAGAGTTTGCCCATCCAGTCTATATGTGTTTTGTGGACTTGGAGAAGACATTCAACCATATTACTCGAGGTACACTGTGTGGGGGTGCTCCATAAGTATGGGATTTGGGGCCCATTGTTACGGGCTGTTTGGTCCCTATACAAACGATGCAAGAGTTTGGTTCACATTGCTGGTAGTAAGTCACACCCCTTCAGGGTGAGAGTTGGACTCCGCCAGGGCTGCCTGTTGTCACAGATTCTGTTCATAACTTTTATGGACAGAATTTTTGGGTGCAGCCAGCGGGCAGAGGGAGTATTTTTTGGTGACCTCAGGATTCCATCTCTGCTTTTTGCAGATGGTGTGAGCCTGTTGCTTCCTGGGCGCCTCTCTAGCAGATGCTTCTGGCATATCTGACTGGGAGGAGACTCCTGGGAAGACCCAGGACACACTGGAGCGATTATGTCTCTCGAATGGACTGGGAATGCCTTGGATTTCTCCCAGAAGAACTGGAAGTGTTGGTTGTGGAAAGAGATGGCTGGGCCTCCCTGCTCAAGCTGCTGCCCCCATGACCCAACTTTGGAACAAGCACAAGCTTATAGATGGATAGATGTATGGGTGTACTCACTTTTGGTGTCAGTGGTTTAGACATTAATGGTTGTGTGCTGAATTATATTGAGAGGACATCAAATTTTCACTCCTATACAAGCTGTATGCTGACTACTTTTTATTGTATCAAAGAGTCATATAAACTCAGAGTTGTCCAATGAAGTACCGGTAATAAAATATTTACAAAAATGTGAGGGGTGTACTCACTATTGTGAGATACATATGTACCACACATGATGTGAATGACAATAAAGAAACCTTGACCTTGATACTGTACGTAGGTAGACAGATGGATGGACGGACGGACGGACAGACAGTAAAATATCTATGTAACAGACTGACACAGACAGAGAAATGGGAGTTACATGATCACCTACCTCTCGTGGGGATTAGATCGGAACCTCTGGACAGAACTCAATCTTTGATGATTGTGAAAATATGCAGCTATTCACAGTTACTGAAGGTTTGATTCATAAAAGTCTTTTTAGACTCCTAATTGATCTTCTGTCAGGTCCAGTCCTGTTTGAAGAAGTTCTGTTTATCCCTCCTGTTGATCAGAACTTCAGAAGAACATATTTAAATAAAACAACTAAATGTTTGAGTCTGGCCTCCAGACAGCTTGTCCGGTGCAGAATATATTTCTGAAACAGGAGCGACATTCTGAAGGTAGAAACAAACCAAGGTATGGCTCCATCCCATTGGCATTGATGCAATGCCAACATTGGGATCATCTTTTGCTTCAAATTCTCATTCAGGGCATGATACGTTAAAATAAGGACAAAAAACTGGACTTGTGTTCTGTAGTTGAAGACGTTAGGAGTTCTGAGCTTTAATCTGTATCACATTGGAATCAATATCATCAATACCTGGATCAATCCACAGCCCACCACCTTATTGATGACATGGGACATGACCATTCAGACTGAAGAACATCAGATATGGATCTGATTCAGAACCCCAGATGAAAAAGATCTGGGTCTGATTTGGATAGATCTGATTCTCCACATTCAAACAATCATAAAAAAAAATCCAGTATGGGTCTAGTTTGGGCCAAATAAATGGATCTGGGACACTTTTTCCTACAGTGTGAATGTAACCTAGGCCTTTTTGGTTCTGGTGGGTCTCTAAAACCCCTTAAATGGAACAAGTGAACTTAAAACAACCATGAATAACTGGTTCTAAATTAGAAACTGGACCTGCTATAATGTGCCAGTCGTCATGCCTTCTGGTACCAACTTTTGGACTAATGGTTTTAGCTCCAGCAGAAGTAATATCTGAAGCTGACTCTAAACTATCAGACCACAGAACCAAGTTTAGTAGAACCAAAGTTCAACACAGACTAGGATCTCTGTTTCTGTCTCTCAGGAGGAAGAGGAAGGCTCTGATGAAGAGTGTCTGAGCTCCTCTCTGGTCAGAGATCCAGTTTCACCTCCTTACCGAGCAAACTGGCCAGCAGCCAGTGAGGAGGACAGCGACCGAGACAGTGACCCGGCCTTTGTGTCTCCGATAGATGAAGTGAAAGCCATCCGTCAACAGACCACTCTCACCACCGCCAACCTTCATGAAGCTTCCAGGTGAGTCTTCAAACCTGCACATGTTCTTCAGGGTAGGTCTTCCTCTAACCTGCTTGTCCTCCTGTTGAGCCAGGTCTCAACTTCTGGAGTGTCTGCGGGACACCAGAACTGAGAAGAAGATCAGCCGTAAAGTTCTGAAAGAATTTGAGGACGAGTTTTCTCGACAGACTGGACGGTGAGTACACTGGAATACCGGACATCCTAAGTGTAGTCCTCAATTTACCTGACAAGGTTTTCTTTGGCTCCTGACAGAATCTGCCAAAAAGAGGACCGTGGTCCCATGAAGGACGAATACCAAGAGTACAAACAGCTGAAAGCAAAGCTCCGTCTGCTGGAGGTCCTTCTCAGCAAACAGGACATCACCAAAACCACGTGAGGAGACACCAACCTGCAGAAGACTGACACCACATGTTCCAAAAGAGCCATGAATGAACATGACTCGGACACATGTCCCACAGGAATTTATGAGTCTGAAAAGTGTCCAACAAGTCTTTACTTGTGTCTGAGAGGTGTCCAACAAGAGTCCACCAGGTTTTTAGATGCGTCTGAGAGGTCTCTAACAAGAGTCAAACCTGTTTTTACATGTTTATAGTGTGTCAAACAAATGTTCAATGGGTTTTTATGTAAATGGTAAATGGACTGTACTTATAAAGCACCTTTCTATCTTATCAAGACACTCAAAGCTCTTTACAACAATCTGTGCCTCATTTACCCATTCATACAGTTCTATACTAGATCTCTACAAAGCTAAATGAACAAATCATTCTAAAGAGACTAATCAGAGCTTTATCACATTCATACACTGATGGGACACACATCAGAGGCTATGAGGGTTTCACTGTCTTGCCCAGGGACACTTCAGCATGTGACTGCTGGTGGATTCGAATCCCCAACTCTTGCATTAGAGGACGACTGCTCTAACCACTCAGCCACAGCCGCCCATGTCTATGAAGTGTTGACCAAGTGTCCAGTTGGTTCTTTGTGTCTGAGAGGCATCCAACATCAGTTTAATGGGTATTTACATGTCTCAGAGATGCCCAATAAAAGTCCAGCAGTTTTTTACATATCCGAGGTGTCCAATATGAGTGTCAATTTGGCATTATTGACTAGGGCAAAAAAGTTTGATGCTTGTTCATCTGTCCCACCTATTGTTCAATTATCTTCCACCTGTCTAAAGTTGGGTCTCAGAACTTCCTCCAAGTGCCTGGAAAATGTCAGCAGAACTGACTCGCCGAAGCCTCCGAATCAGACCCTTCCTCTCCAGGACTGCACTTGAGATTTTGTCCATAAACACCCCAAACAGGATTGGAGACAAAGGGCAGTCCGGGTGAAGTCAAAACTGCACTGAAAACAAGCTTGACTTTGTGCTGAGGATTTGGACACAGCTCCTGGTTTGGTTCAAAGATTCTCTGACACTGATCTAAAATGTGTCCAGAGTCTCTGACAGGTTTAAAATGTGTCCAAAAAGTCTCAACATGTCTAAAATATGTCCAAACAGTCTGACGTGTCTAAAACGTGTCCAGAGAGTCTCTGATATGCTTATAATGTGCCCAAGGAATCTCTGACATGTCTAAAATGTGTCCAAGGTGTCTCTGACATGTCTAAATGTGTCCAAGGAGTCTCTGACATGTTTAAAATGTGTCCAAAGCATCTCTGACATGTCTAAAATGTGTCCAAAGAGTCTCTGGTATGTCTAAAATGTGTCCAAAGAGTCTCTGACATGTCTAAAATATGTCCAAAGAGTCTCTGATATTTCTAAAATGTGTTCAAAGATTCTCTGACACTGTTCTAAAATGTGTCCAAACAGGCTGACATGTGTCTACAATGTGTCCAGAGAGTCTCTGATATGCTTATAATGTGTTCAAGGAGTCTCTGACATGTCAAAAATGTGTCCAAGGTGTCTGTGACATGTCTAAATGTGTCCAAAGAGTCTCTGAAATATCTAAAATGTGTCCAGTCTCTGGTATGTCTAAAATCTGTCCAAAGAGTCTCTGCCACATGTCTAAAATGTGTCCAAAGAGTCTCTGACACTGTTCTAAAATGTGTCCAAAGAGTCACTGACAAATGTCTAAAATGTGTCCAGAGTCTCTGACATGTTTAAAATGTGTCTAAAATGTCTCTGACATATGTCCAACATGTGTCCAAAAAGTCTCTGGCACATGTCTAAAATGTGTCCAAAGCATCTCTGACATGTCTAAAATGTGTCCAAAGAGTATCTGACTTGTCCAAAAGGTGTCCAAAGAGTCTCTGACTTGTCCAAAATATGTCCAAAGTGTCTTTGAACACATTTTGGACAAGTCAAAGACTCTTTGTACACATTTTAGACATGTGGCAGAGACTCTTTGAACACATTTTGGCCAAGTCAAAGAGTCTCTGCCACATGTCTAAAATGTGTGTGGAGTCTCTGATACATGTGTAAAATATGTCCAAAGAGTCTCGGACATATCTAAAATGTGTCCAAAGCAACTCTGCCATGTCTAAAATGCATACAAAGAGTCTTTGACTTGTCCAAAATGTGTTTCAAAAAGTCTCTGATGTCCAAAATGTGTTCAAAGAGTCTCTGACTTGTCCAAAATGTGTCCAAAGAGTCTCTGACTTGTCCAAAATGTGTCCAGTCTTTGACTTGTCCAAAATGTGTCCGAAGAGTCTCTGACACATGTCTAAAATATGTTCAAAGATTCTCTGACACTGTTCTAAAATGTGTCAAAACAGGCTGACATGTGCCTAAAATGTGTCCAGAGAGACTCTGATATGTTTATAATGTGTCCAAGGAGTCTCTGACATGTCAAAAATGTGTCCAAGGTATCTGTGACATGTCTAAATGTATCCAAATCGTCTCTGACATGTCTAAAATGTGTCCAAAGAGTCTCTGGTATGTCTAAAATGTGTCCAAAGAGTCTTTGACACTGTTCTAAAATGTGTCCAAAGAGTCTTTGACACTGTTCTAAAATGTGTACAAAGAGTCACTGACAAATGTCTAAAATGTGTCCAGAGTCTCTGAAATGTTTAAAATGTGTCTAAAATGTCCTTGACATATGTCCAACATGTGTCCAAAAAGTCTCTGGCACATGTCTAAAATGTGTACAAGGCACCTCTGACATGTCTAAAATGTGGCCAAAGAGGCTGTGACATGTCTAGAATGTGTCCAAAGAGTCTCTGATTTGTCCAAAAGGTGTCCAAAGTGTCTCTCTGACTTGTCCAAAGAGTCTTTGACTTGTCCAAAATGTGTTCAAAGAGTCTTTGACTTGTCCAAAATGTGTCCAAAGAGTCTCTGCCACATGTCTAAAATGTGTGTGGAGTCTCTGATACATGTCTAAAACATGTCCAAAGAGTCTCAGACATGTCTAAAACGTGTCCAAAGCATCTCTGCCATGTCTAAAATGCATACAAAGAGTCTTGACTTGTCCAAAGTGTGTTCAAAGAGTCTATGATGTCCAAAATGTGTTCAAAGAGTCTCTGATGTCCAAAATGTGTTCAAAGAGTCTTTGACTTGTCCAAAATGTATCCAAAGAGTCTCTGACTTGTCCAAAATGTGTCCAGTCTTTGACTTGTCCAAAATGTGTTCAAAGAGTCTCTGACACATGTCTAAAATATGTCCAAAGAGTCTCGGACATGTCTAAAATGTGTCCAAAGAGGCTGTGACATCTAAAATGTGTGCAAAGAGTCTCTGGCATATCTAAAATGTGTCCAAAGAGATTTTACTTGTCCAAAATGTGTCCAAAGAGATTTGACTTGTCCAAAATGTGTCCAAAGAGATTTCACTTGTCTAAAATGAGTCCAAAGAGACGTTGACTTGTCCAAAATGTGTTCAGTCTCTGATGTCCAAAATGTGTCCAAAGATTCTCTGACTTGTCCAAATTTTGTCCAAAGAGTCTCTGACTTGTCCAAAGTGTGTCCAAAGAGTTTCTGACTCATCCAAAATGTGTCCAAAGAGATTTGACTTGTCTGGTCACCTGGTCTTTACCAGACTACGGTCTGGAGGTTAAAACCTGAACCTGGTCTTTACCAGACTACGGTCTGGAGGTTAAAACCTGAACCTGGTCTTTACCAGACAAAGGTCTGGAGGTTAAAACCTGAACCTGGTCTTTACCAGACGAAGATCTGGAGGTTAAAACCTGAACCTGGTCTTTACCAGACTAAGGTCTGGAGGTTCAAACC